TGACTGCAATTGGATCTATCTAGATCCACAAGGAATTACAAAATAAATTTTATTTGATTTGACTTAGAGTCAAAAAGACTTAGGTTTGATTTAATAGCCAGCATTGTTGGTGGGATTTCCCTCTTCTTTTAGTTGCAATTTTTTATGATCTCCCCCTTAAAACTCCAACCCCACTGCCACTGAGTCAATGCCAACTCATAGCAACCCTATAGGACAGAGTAGAACTGCTCCTGTGGGTTTCTGAGACTGTAAACCTTTTTAAGAGAGTAATAAACCTCAAAGGTTTATTAACAACCTGCTATATGCAGATAACACAACCTTGCTTGCTGAAAGTAAGGAGGACTTGAAGCACAATGAGGATCAAAGGTTCCAGCCTTCAGTATGGATAACAACTCAATGTAAAGGAAACCAAATCCTCAGAACTGGACCGATAAGTAAATAGCATCATGATCTATGGAGAAAAGATTGAAGTTGTCAAGGATTTTGTAGTGCTTGGATCCAGCGCAGCAGACAAGGGATTAAAGGAAAATTGCATTGGGTAAATCTGCTACACAGATCACTTTAACGTATTGAAAAAGCCAGGATGTATTTTAAGGACTAAGGTGGGCCTGACCCAAACCATGGTATTTTGCATCACTTCATATGCATATAACAGTTGGACATTGAATAAGGAAGACCAAATAATAATTCATGCATTTGAATTATGGTGCTGGTGACGAGTACTGACAGTACCATGGACTACCAAGAGAACAAACCACTCTGTCGTAGAAGAAGTGCAGTCAGGCAAGGGTGCCAAAACTTTGTCTCCTGTTCTTTGGATGTGTTATCGGAGAGATCAGTTCCTGGAAAAGACATCGTGCTGGGTAAGGTAGAAGAGTAGTGAACAAGAAGTAGGTCTTTGGCAAAATTGGTTGACACGGGGGGCTATACCAATGGACTCAAACATAAGAACAATTGTGAGGCTGGTGCCAGACCTGGCAGTGTTTCCTTGTTCTGTTAGTCACAGGGTCGCTAGGAGCCACACGGACTCAATGGCACCTACGTACAACTACAGCAACAATTACCTCCCTCGTTTAGTTTATTTCCACAGTCAGTC